GGGCCCAGCCTTCCCTGCGTGTCCGGGTTGCTGCCGTGTGCTCGGGACTCTGCCCGGCGCTTCTTCGCTGAGGTCGGTCTGGGGGCGCGCGTCCCGGTCCCCGCGGAGCCGAGATCCGGGGTCTGGGGGCTGCTTCTCGGGGGGCTCCTAGCTGGGCGGCCAGGGGCGGTGGCCGGGATCCCGGGACTGGCTCCTCGGCCGGCCTGCAGTGGCTCTCTTCCTTCGCTCTTGCTCCTAGAAGCTTCTGCCTTGCACCCCTTTGTCCTAAAGGGACTTTGCTTAAACTTTCATACTTTCAGGGAAAAGACCTAAGGCCGTGTTTTCTGGGGTGTACAGTGGAGATCTTCTGAAGGCGGTATTTTTCCGGGGGACAGAATGGAGATCATCTTGAGGCAGGATTTTCTAGGGTACTTTCTGCACCAGGCTTCTGCTTGACTTCAAGGCAGTGTCGTCTTCTTGGTGGCGGGAGGCTGCGGGGACCCACGCTGAGTCGTGGGCCTCTGCGGGTTACGTGTAACTATCTCAGCGTGTTTCTCAGTTCCCCCAGGCCTCCTCCCCTGCCTCCTCCTTCTTGCGGAGTGGTCTGTGAGCTAGTTTCAGCCCTTTCACCAGGAAGGTAAAATAACTCCCCCGAAAGTGCTCCTGACCCTAGAGAAATGCTGGTTGAATATCTTCCGGATTATTCTTTGATCCTATCGTGGACGTTAGCCTCCTTAGCATTTTTGTGAATAGATTTTTTACCTTCAAAAGATGTATCTAGTGCCCTGGTGGCTAAACTAGACCATCATGTTAACTTTGTCCCTACTGGGCCTCTTTGTTGCTTTGAATTTGAATTTAGGCTCAGAAGCCTTACCTTGCCTGGGGGTAGGAGTGGAGGGAAGGATGGATTCTCTGATAGGGTAGGGTGGACTCCACAATTCTCTCTCTGGGTTCTTTCTTTCTTTCTTTCTTTCTTTCTTTCTTTCTTTCTTTCTTTCTTTCTTTCTTTCTTTCTTTCTCTTTTTCTTTGCTTGAAAAGAGCATTTGGTCTTGCACTGGTGGCTCCTAGCTACTCAGGAGGCTGACATCTGAGGATAGTAGTTTGAAGTCAGCCTCTTATCTTCAGTTAACCATCAAAAAGTCAGGAGTAGAGCTGTTGCCCAAGTGGTAGAGCAAAAAGGCTAAGGGACAATGCCCAGACTCTGAGTCAAGCCTCTGGACAGGCAAACAAGAAAAGAAAGGCAGGGAGCCTGTGACTCACGCCTGCAATCCTAGCTACTCAGGAGGCTGAGATCTGGCAATGCAAGTTCAAAGCTGGAAGTGGTGCTGTGGCTCAGTGTGGTTAGAGCACTTGCCTTGAGCAAGAGAGCTCAGGGACAGCGCCCAGGCCCTGAGTTCAAGCCCCATGACTGACAAAAAAAAAGGAAAAAAGAAAAAGAGGAAGAAAGGATAGAAAGAAAGAGCATTTATTTGAGTTGGGAAGGAATCTAGTAGTCTAAATTCCAATTGTCTGAAATAAACCTCTCTTCCACAGATTTCTTCTGGAGGAAAAATGGCAGCTGTTGCAGTTGATCCTCAGCCGGTATGATTTCTAACCAGCTGTTCTCTTGACTCCATTCTCTCCTTGTGTGTTTGAGGAGTTAATGTAAACCTCTCTTTGGTTGCAGAGTGTGGTGACCAGGGTAGCCAACCTGCCCTTGGTAAGCTCCACGTGTGACCTCGTGTCCTCTGCTTATGTCAGCACAAAGGATCAGCACCCCTACCTGAAATCTGTGTGTGAGATGGCTGAGAAAGGCGTGAAGACCGTGACTTCTGTGGCAGTGACCGGTGCTCTGCCCATCATCCAGAAGCTAGAGCCACAGAGTGAGTTCTGGCTCCCCTCCCTCAAGATTCAGTTGAAGGGATTGGTGGGAGAGAGCCATAAGCACACCCCCGCAGAGACTGTCTGCTGACCCTCTTTATTGTAGAAGCCATGGCAGGTGTTCATTGAAGCTTTACTAAAAACACCCTGAGAGGCCTCTGTGGTAGTAACTGTGATCACAAATATATGAACCTTACACTGTATATGTTTTATTTCATTTTTGTGCCAGTCCTGGAGTTTGAAACTCAGGGCCTGGGTGCTGTCCTTGGGCTTTTGAGATTGAGGTTAGTGTTCTACCACTTGAGCCATACCTTCACTTTTGGCTTTTTGGTAGTTAATTGGAGATAGGAGTCTCACAGACTCTCCTGCCAGGCTGGCTGTGAACTTTGATCCTCAGATCTCAGCCTCCTGAGTAGCTAGGATTACTGGCCTGAGCCACTAGTACCCAGTTATAGTTTTATTTTTATTTTTTTTTGTCGGTCGTGGAGCTTGAACTCTGGGCCTGGGCGCTGTCCCTCAGCTCTTCAGCTCAAGGCGAGCGCTCTACCACTTTACCACTTGAGCTACAGTGCCACTTCCGGTTTTCTGGTGGTTTATTGGAGATAGGAGTCTCATGGTCTCTCCTGCCCGGCTCTGAACCGAGATCCTCAGATCTCAGCCTCCTGAGTAGCTAGGATTACTGGCCTGAGCCACTAGTACCCAGTTATAGTTTTTTTTATAGTTTTATTTTTAATACCATTTTTATTGCGATAAAATTAACAAACCATATGATTCACTTAAAGTTTACAATTCTATGGTTTTCACCATATTTGGATTTGGACAGTTATCCTCATGGCCAAAATAGAATGTTTTCATTATGCTAGGAAAAACCTACACTGGCAGGATGATGATGAAATGGGGGTGATGAAATGTTCTGAAAGTGCAGAGTGTAATGGCCACACAATGTTGTGGTCAGACTTAATGACACTAAATTGTACAATTTAAAAACGCTAAAGTCTATGTATATATGGTTGGTTGGTTGATTTTTTGTTTTTTTGGGGGGGGTCTGGTCATGGGGCCTGAACTCTGGGCCTGAGCACTGTCCCTCAGCTCTTCAGCTCCAGGCTAGCCCTCTACCACTTGAGCCACAGCACTACTTCCGGCCTTTTTCTTTTTGCTTATGTGGTGCTGAGGAATCGAACCCAGGGCCTCAGGCATGCAAGACAAGTGCTCTACCACTGAGCCACCTTCCCAGCCCGTTAGAAGTTTTATATTGAGTTTAGTCCCCACAGTCACTATCAAAAATAGTACTTCTATTCCCCAAGATGCTTCTATTCCCCAAGATGCGTGGTTGGTTGGTTGTTTTGAGACAAAGTCTCACTATGGAGCCCAGGCTGACCTTAAGCTTGTTATTCTCATCCAGAGTGCTAGGATTCCAAGTATGTATCATTATATCTAGCTTATATAAAAATAAAATAATAAAAAATATATTCTGAATGGGGTGGTGCATCTGTAATTGCATGTACTCTGGAGGCTGAAGGGCAGGATTACCAACAATTTTGAGGTTAGCCTGAGCAAACCTGTCTCTAAATATAAAGTTAAACTCAATTGGGAGGTGTCGCTGGTGAAAGAGCAGCTGCCCAGCATGCTTGAGACCATGAGCCCCTGGCAATGCAGACAGAGAGAGAGAAGCCTACCTCATCCTCATTAGCAATCAGTCCCCATTTCATTCTGTCTTTCCCTAGGCCACTAATCTGCTTCCTGTCATCTACATTTGCTTGTAGTATTACTTCACACAAAGGGAATCATAATCTTTTGTGATTGGTTTCTTTACTTAGCATAATATTTTCTAGATTCATCCACACTGAAGCATCATATCAATAATGAGTCCCCCCCCCCTTTTTTTTTTTCGGTCGTAGGCTTTGAACTCTGGGCCTGAGCACTGTCCCTTAGTTCTTCAGCTCAAAGCTAGCACTCTACCACTTGAGCTACAATGCCACTTCCAGCTTTCTGGTGGTTTATTGGAGATAAGAATTTCACAGACTTTCCTGCCCAGGCTGGCTTTGAACTGGGATCCTCAGATCTCAGCCTCCTGAGTAGCTAGAATTCTAGGCTAGAGTCACTGGCACCTGGCTATGAATCCCTTTTTATTCTGGAATATTTAGCTGTACAGCTGGTCCATATTTCATCCCATTCATTCATCAGTTGGTGGGCATTTGGGTTGCCTCCACTTTGGATGGGGAGATGATGGGAACATATTTTCAGTTGTCTTGGATATACTTAGTGGAATTGCTGAGCACATAATGACTAAGTTCTTGAGAAACTCCATACTATTTTCCAAAGTGACTGCACTGTTTTTTATTCCCATCAGCAATGCATGAAGGTTTCCTTTCTCTGTACCATGATAATACAGATAATACAGGGGGCATTGGTGGGGGGGGGGTTGCTCTTCCTAAGGCTTGAACGTGTTTCTGAGCACTGTCTGAAGTTATGTGTTCAAGGCTAGTGAGTGCTCTACCATTTAGAGCCACAGCTCCACTTCTGGCTCTTTGGTGGTTAATTAGAGATAAGGGTCTCCTGGACTTTCCTGCCTAGACTTGCTTGGAATCATGATCCTATCTCAGCCTCCTGAGTAGTTAGGATTACAGGCATGAGCCACCTGTACCTGGTGAGAAATCTTTTTTTTTTTTTTTTTCTGGTCCTGGGTCTTGATCTGAGGGCCTGGTTACTGTCCCTGACCCTCTTTGTGCTCAAGGCAAGCGCTCTATCTCTTGAACCACAGCACCACTTTTGGCTTTTTCTTTTTTTTGGGGGGGGGGTCCAGTCGTGGGCCTGAACTCTAGGCCTGGCTGCTGTCCCTCAGCTCTTCAGCTCAAGGCTAGCACTCTACCACTTGAGCCACAGTGCCACTTCCATTTTTTTTTTTCTGCTTATGTAGTGCTGAGGAATCGAACCCAGGGCCTCATGCATGCAAGGCAAACACTCTACCACTGAGCCACCTTCGCAGTCCATTTTTGGCTTTTTCTGATTCTTATCTGGAGATAAGAATCTCATGGGGACTTTTCTGCCTAGGCTGACTTCGAACTGTGATCCTCAGATTTCAGGCTCCTGAGTAGCTAGAATTACAGACATGAGCCACCAGCACCCAGCCTGGCGATAGCTTTTTTTTTTTTTTTTGTCCACAGTTGGGCTTAAACTGGGCCTGGGCACTGTCCCTGAGCTCTTCAGCTCAAGGCAAGCACTCTACCACTTAAACCACAGTGCCACTTCCGGTTTTCTGGTAGTTAATTGGAGATAAGAGTCTCTCAGACTTTCCTGCCCAGGCTGGCTTTGAACTTCCATCCTTAGATCTCAGCCTCCTGAGTAGCTAGGATTACAGGCATGAGCCACTGGCACCCAGCTCTGGTAAGAGATATTAAAGATTTAAATAATTTTCACTGGTAAAGTCAGGGATTTTTTTTAGGATGAATGAATGAATGAATTTACTGTATTTGGTTTAGTCTCCCACGTGGGAAGCTTGGACTAAACTTTGGGTTTTGTTGAGGAGTTCCAGGGTGCTAATAGCTTGCATTTTCTTTCCTGTTGAGAACCCAGAATGTAGTGCTCTGGACTGGATTAAGTATATGAATGAAGCAGTGATTGAACTAGCATGGAAGTGCTAATTTTAAGAGTTTTCAGATACCTTATGAAAGAGCGAAATCTGCATATTCTTGGCAGCCAAGGATGGATAGGGGCTGACTGATGAGGAAGAAACTTCTCAGCCAAGTTCCTTCTGGCTTTTTGATGCCTCTATTACTCCTTCTTCTTCTTCCTGCATTTCCTTGCCAGTAGAAGAGAGTTGCCAACATCCTGCTAAACCTGCCTGAACTGGGGGAAAAAAAAACCAAAACCACCAGGCAATACATGCAGGGTAAAAGATCAAAATTCTTGCCTTTTTTTTTTTTTGTAGTAAGGTGAAAGATGTAAAGTATAACTGTGTGTGTGTGTGTGTGTGTGTGTGT